TGCATTATTCCTGCTCGATGATTGCCTTCGTGGATGTTTTGTCACAGTTCTCAAACTCAGATTGACAATTGATGCATGCATAGCACCCCATAATTTTACGATCATTATTTGCATAATTCTCTATTGTTCCGAATCAAAATAAAAGATTCCTAAGACCGGGGACCGGCGTAGACCGTATTTGAAGGGTCTCGCTTGAAGCCGGACGCACACAACAGGAAGGGATTTGCATTATTTAATTTATTTTATTTATTTCAATCACAAACATAATCCTGCGTGACAGCCTGCTGGCTTTCCGATCGCCCGAAGTGGACCGACTGGAAAAAGTGCGACAATGGGTGTAGGTGATGGAGGTGGAAGAGGGGTTGGGGATGGTCGGCTAGGGGGGATGGGTGTGGGTGACGGAGGTGGAAGAAGGGTTGGGGGTGGTCGGCTATGGTGGATGGGTGTAGGCGACGGAGGTGGAAGAAGGGTTGGGGGTGGTCGGCTTATGGCGGACGGGTGTAGGTGATGGAGGTGGAAGAAGGGTTGGGGGTGGCCGGCTATGGTGGATGGGTGTAGATGATGGAAGTGGAAGAAGGGTTGGGGGTGGCCGACTATAGCGGATGGGTGTAAGTGATGGAGGTGGAAGAAGGGTTGGGGCTGGCCGGCTATGGTGGATGAGTGTGGGTGATTGTGGCATACTGCATAGCCACACGGGCCCTGCAGGGCCCGTCCCGGACATTCACCCTAAAAGCCTAAAACATAGGGCTTACAGGCCCCGGTCGTTTCAGCCTGAAAGCTGAAAAACGAGGGCCTGCAGGCCCTACTCCGTTTCAGCCTATTTCTAGGTCTTTCAGACCTAGAGTTTTTCCAGCCTGAAACGGAGGGCCATTTTCAGGCCCTCATTGTTTCGACCTGCCCCTAAGACTCAGGCACGTAAACAGGGATGCGGAACAGGCCAGAAATAGCCTGTTTCTCACGAGCTCGAGCAGGAGCTGCAGCTGCAGCCCCTGCCTCCCTTCGGCATTGGCAAGAGCAGCCTCCTGAACTGCTCGCACGACTCAGGAGGCACACCCGGTAGTACGTAGGAAGTTCCCATGCACTTCACGGGTAGGTAGTTGTCAGTAGGCACGGGTAGTCTTCAGGATTCAGCCGCAGCACTCAGGAGGAGCGCTGCAGTAGTCTTCAGCGCTAGGCAGTAGTAGTAGCACTAGCTGTAGACTTCGGCGTTGGGCGCCCATAGCCGTAGCAGTAGTCTTCAGCGCTGGGCGATGGTAGGTGGTAGATCGTAGAGTGGGAGAGATACTGGTGGAGGCCAGTGGTACTTACCTGTGGCGCCATCGCTCCAGCTCCATCTYCGTGGTAYCTGCATCAAGGCGCCAACTTCACAGGTTAGTACTGGASACARAGAGAGAGAGAGTTCTTCTTCYTCCTCTTCTAAGTCCACCATCTCTTCTCASCCTCTCGCCACCTGACTTCTCWGACTWCGACAGAGAGAGAGAAAGAGTTGTGACTTGAGACTTGACGACATTGGATCCAGACTGGACATTGGGATTCAGACATTTCGACGAGGGACTATTTGGGCCTGTACCGAGACTTGGTGTTGACGACATTCCCATCTTCCCCTCCTCTTTCGTCTAACGCCTCCTTCTTCGTCTGTGTATGGTTGGGGCTGGCGCAATCTTCTTGTGTGAAGCGCCAGACCCCCTTCACACCAGATAACGATGATGATGACGTGTGTTCAGGGCTGTATTGCAATATTGATTGTTCGGATCATTCGTATCTAAGTCTTCCGCTGTGCTATCTTATACTTTGTATTGAGATGTCGGTTCTTGTTTTGGTCTGCACGTTACAGTATGCAACAGTTTGGTATCGGAGCGGACCTCTCATTCAGAGRACCCGCTCAATCAAGTAGCCAGCTTGC